TATAGGCTAATTCATAAATGTTTTATGCGTTTCATTAAACTGTAACCTCATCAAAACCAAAAATATATGCTTGTTTTTCTCTATTGTTTGTAGACAATGCAATTGAAGAGTTTCATTCGAAAACTCTATATCCATTTTCAGAAAAATATGTAGTACTGCGCACGATTGGCCCAGCGTCGTCCGGGGTAGGCCGTCATTGTAAATAAAAATGTGTTCTTACCTGACTTGCCTAGTTAAATAAAGGTAAATTAAAATTAAAATTGTACGCATAATTTTTGCAGTGTGAGACACTCCTACTCATTTTTTAAAAACCTGGCTGTGGTTTGCATGCTGCTCGCCAAGACCAAAAGTTACACTTCCAGTGTAGCAGGTAAGACGATTTTCTGATTTTGCGACTCCCCAATGCACAAGGTGCACCTGTGTAATGATCATGCAATTCAATCAACTTCTCGATATGCCACACCTGTCAGGTGAATGGATTATCTTGGCAAAGGATAAATGCTCACTAACAGGGATGTAAACACATTTGTGCACAAAATTTGAGCGAACTAAGCTTTTTGTGCAAATGGAACATTTCTGGGATCTTTTATTTCAGCTCATGAAAAATGGGACCAATACTTTACATGTTGCGTTTATATTTTTGTTCAGTATACATACAGTATCTTCATCAACATTGACACACTGACACAATCCATCCAGTGTCTGGTTCTGAGAGATTTAGAACAGAGAAAACAGAGAAGGCAGTAAGGCAAGTTTCCCTTTTCCCTCCCAGCATCACTCAACGCTGCCTTCATGAGCTCACTAGTCTCCAGACCTCTCCTACAGGGAAACTACCAGGCAGTTGGAAGGAGGCTGTAGTGGTACCAATCCGGAAGCCCAGGAATGTCCCAACGAGGCCAACAAGCTACCGGCCAATAGCTTTAACATCACATGTATGTAAGATTATGGAACATATGATTACGGAGAGGCTAACTTACTTCCTGGAGAGCAGAGGGCTAGTATCGCCACATCAGAGTGGGTTCAGGAAGGGTAGGGGAACTATGGACCCAGTGCTCTGCTTAGAAGCAGAGGTCAGGAATGCTCAGGTGAACAAGGATACCGTTGTAGCTGTCTTTTTTGATGTGCAGAAGGTGTATGATATGATGTGGAAGGAGGGGTTGTTAATCAAGCTTGATATTATGGGGGTAGGAGGAAGAACGTACAACTGGATAAAGGATTTCCTGTTTGGAAGGTCTATCCAGGTGAGGGTTGGGAAGTCTCTATCAGGCAGCTATCTGGTGGATAACGGTACACCACAGGGGAGTGTGATTAGTTCTCTGTTGTTCTCAATCATGATCAATGATGTTTACTCTCAGGTACAGCCGGATATTGGGAGGTCGTTATTTCCAGATGATGGGGCCTTGTGGAAGAGGGGAAGAAATGTGCCATACATAGTCAGGAAGGTACAGGAAGCAATTGATGAGGTAGAGCGGTGGGCATTAATGTGGGGATTCAGGTTCTCTGTAGAGAAAACTCAAACAGTGTTCTTTACCAGGAGGAAGGTGGGAGATGAGGTATGCTTGAGGTTACATGGGAGAAACTTGGAGAGGGTGGGGGCCTTCAGGTTCCTTGGGGTGAATGTTGATACTAGACTGACCTGGGCAGAACACATTGAGAGAGTGGTGGGAAAGTGTAAGAAAGTGCTAAATGTGATGCGCTGTCTGACGGGAAAGGAGTGGGGGGCTGGGCGTTCCTCATTGAGGACCATGTATGTTGCGTTGATCCGATCTGTAATAGACTATGGCTGTATAGCATATGGTTCAGCAGCCCGGACCTCATTGGAAAGGCTAGATGTCATACAGGGGTAAGGACTCAGAATATGTAATGGGGCGTTTCGGACGTCCTCAGTGTCTGCATTACAGGTGGAGAAGGGGATATTCCATTGCAGATTAGGAGACAGCAGCTGGCAATGAATTATTGGGTCAACCTGCAAGGACATGGGGTGTCTCATCCTGCGAAAGGGATTTTACAGGCATGCTGGGAACATGAGCAAAGACAGAACACAAGCTTTGGGTGGGTGGGTAATACCCAGGTGAAGTAGATGGGACTGTATGGAAGGGAGTTTAGTCCAACAGTAGATATTCCTGTAAATCCACCATGGCTACTCCCGCCTCCAGTAGTTGATCTAGAAGTGTTGGAGAGACTACAGAAATATAGGGAGAGTGTTGATCCATCTGATTTGTTTAAGAGATGTCTGGATACTGTGTATCAGGATTTTGTGGCCATTTACACAGATGGTTCAAAAGATCCAAGGACAGGACGTACTGGGTCAGCATTTGTAGTGCAGGAATGTGGGGTGGAAGTCAGGAAACATATTACAGATCATCTGGCTGTATATACGGCGGAGCTGATGGCCATACAGTTGGCCTTGCAGTGGGTGGAGGAAGTCAAGCCAGACAGAGCAGTTATTTGCTCTGATTCATGTGCAGTGTTAATGAGTCTCCAGTCCTTTAGATCACGTAGCAGACAAGACCTGCTTTATGAGGTGCTACAAACCCATGGCAGGATTAGACAGATGGGTATACAGATAAGATTTACTTGGGTCCCAGCCCATGTGGGGGTGGAGGGGAACGAGGCAGTTGATGTACTGGCTAAACAAGCACTTAGTAGTGGGGATGTTGATGTTGTAGTTTCAATGAGCAAGGCAGAGGCAAAAAGCCTGATATATACAGTGATGGTGCAGAGATGGCAGGAGCAGTGGAATAGAGATAATAAGGGCAGGCATTTATTTCAAGTACAGAGGAAAGTCAGGGAGGGGAGGACGGCAGTAAGGGACAGAAGAGAGGAGGCTATTTTTACAAGATTAAGGGTGGGACATAGCTAGTTGAATAAGACATTAAATGTGATAGGAAAGCATCCAACAGGAAAGTGTGATTATTGCTAGGAAACAGAGACTGTAGAACATGTATTGTTACAGTGTGGGCAGTATCCGAGGGAAAGAGAGAGGATGAGATCTAGTATGAGGGAGAATGGGATACAGGAAATTAGTTTAAAGAGTATATTGAGTAGAATGTCATTAGATATAGTCTCAAATATTTTGTTATCTTTTCTAAGAGCAACGGGGCTGGCAGGTAGGACTTAGTTTCTCCCTGACTCTGGCCCACACTCCAGTACAGTAGGTGGCGGTAATGCACTATAACGTTGGATGCAAACCACCGATAAACCCCATTGAAGAAGAAGAAAGACCTCTCCTCCATGGGAGGGGCCACAGAAGGAGGATATAAACACAGTAGCGTTCGGAGTGAAAAAGAAGACCTACACAGAACGTTTATCTACTACTGTAACAAGGTGAGATTAACGTTGTCGATCAATTAGTACTGCATGTAGCCAAAGTAAACAGTTTAGCATTAATGTTTTATTCAGAGTTGGTAATGTAACTCAATAGTTGTGGATAAGTGATGCCAGGTGAACATTGTAGTTTTATGCCCGGTTCACATCTAACAACCGAGACGGTTTTATGCCGTTTTAGAACGCATCTCTGCTGTTGGAGTTTCCAATATTCAACATGTCAATTAGCTAAAGACTTGCGACGAGACGGATAGGCTACGTTTGGTCAAAAGAACAGTGCGCTTTCTGTGTTCCGGGTCTTATTTTTGCTGCAGTTAGCTAGCCTAGCTTGCAGATATTTATCTGATAAATCACAACGTGTGGCCTGTTTCTGGTACATGTACTTAATGATTCCCGTTTGCTACAACAAAGTGGCAACTTTGTTTCAGTTTCATCACGTTTAACCCGAAGGCCGGCAGAAGGCGATATTGAGTCGTCATTTTACCGTTGTATGCAACGGTTCGTATCCCTTGTGGACCTGTTCGTACCTAAAGGCTTTGATATCCTCTAACTTTATTTAATGCAGAGTGGGGGGGAAATATGCGTGCTTTCCTTATGAAACACACTTTTCCACCACTATGCTAGTGGCTATATGCTAATCCTAGATGTTGCTTTCAGCCAATCGGTTTGAGCCTCAGACCAGAGTTTCCGTTTCTTTTACGCGTGCTGCATTAGCAACATCGCATTCGTGGAAACCAAGACAGTTTTAAGGGCAAACCTGGTTGTAACTAGATATGTTCCAGGTCGCATCGGACATTTTTTGCTAACTCTTTTCCTAACCTTAACCTAATTCTCCTAACCTGCTGCATAAATTGTCCTAACCTGTTGTAGGCCTATCTGAACCGGGCTTTCGAATGATCAGTGAACTGATGCGTATCACATCTCTGTGGATTCTGTGCTTTTCTACCCTCCATCCACACCTGGCTCTCTACCTGTACCAGGTGTTGTTGACTAGAGGCATAGGGAGGGAGAGGCTTTGGTGTGTTGCCTGGACACAGTCGTTTAGAGACTGATACTCAGGAGGCCAGTGTTTGGCATTTGGCACTCGCTATAGGTTAAAACATTCTGCTCACACCCCTACAGAAATGTGATAAAAATGTGCCATTGCGATTTCTTTTAGAAACTCATTGCCCTGTTCCAACATCTCCAAATCATACAGCATTATTAGGGTGACTTTGTTACCATAAAAGGTGACTGGAGGGCATTTTCCAGGCGAGGTTGTAGCGCTTGCAATATGGACGTGTGTGTATATATTGCGTGCGATAGTTTGATAAATCCCAATAATTTGTTGCGCATGCAAATCCTAGAATCTCCACGTAGGCCAGAATTTAGTAAGCAATTTACGCTCAGTTGATAAATGACGTCTCAGGCCTTTAAATGTTTAATAGATTCTGCTGCTGGGAAGTCGTTCTCACGTCATGCTCACCTGTCTGGGTTGTCCCTAATGACACCCTATTTCCTCTGTATTGCACTGGGCCCTGGTCAAAGGTAGTGCACTATATTGGGAATAGGGTGCCGTTTGGGACACACCGTTGTGTACATAACCTGACACTACCTGATGCACTACTCGACATGCCATGTGATGTGTATTGATGAGAAAACAATAGGTGCTTTGTGACGGGTACAGTCTAGACTTCAGTTTAATCTAACTGCATGTTGTGCATCACTGTCCCCATACTGTAATTCTTGTCTGTCTGTTGCAGGAGCCATGGTAAAGTGTATAGCTGTAGTTCTGTCAGGGTGTGGGGTCTACGATGGGACAGAAATCCATGAGGCGTCTGCTGTACTGGTCCACCTCAGCAGGGCTGGAGCTAAGGTAAGGACTACTTAACGTTTACATGGTAGTTCAAACTCGTGTCTCTCATGCTAACCTTCTGATTGTACAACCCCACTCTATAGTCAGATTGCTGTGACAACTACAGACTTCCTCTAGTCTAGAGAGTGGTGCAGAGTTTGTATTGATTTGCATGTCGTCAATATGCCTCTATATGACTGCTCCTTCTACTGCTGTACTTCTAATCGTAGTCTCCCCCGGAGTGTTCAGAGTGCTTGTCGTTGGGAATGCAGGTTCCAATCTCATTAGCATGGACACTACTATGACTCTCTCCTTCTGGCTTCTCCTGTAGGTACAGATGTACAGTATTGACTGTCTAACCCTTATCACCCCAGGTCCAGATGTTTGCCCCCAACGTGGATCAGATGCATGTGGTGAACCACTGCGAGGGGAAACCCACGGCGGAGAAACGCAATGTCCTGCAGGAGAGTGCTCGCATTGCCCGCGGTGACGTGTCAGACCTTACCAAACTGGACATCACCGCTTTCGACGCCCTCGTCATCCCAGGTAAGCAGTACTCCTTCATTTATACCTTCATCATTATATACCTCCATCACTCTCACTCCATTATATACACCTCTGTCACTATCATTCTTCCATTATCATCAGCATACAACCACAATCCTTACTCCCCTTTACCGGTTCAGGACCAGGGCTGCTTTCTACTGTGCTCAACCCAACTGTGTCCTGCAGGTGGTTTTGGTGTGGCTAAGAACCTGTCGGACTGGGCTGTAAAGGGGAAGGAGTACACGGTTCAACCCCAGGTAGAAAAGCTGATTAAGGGGTTCCACAGCGTAGGCAAGCCCCTGGCTATGTGCTGCATCTCCCCTGTCCTAGCCGCTAGGGCCCTGCCGGGGTGTGAGATCACCGTGGGACACGACAAAGAGTGTGAGAGGTGGGTTACGGTGTCAGTGGTGTGTGAGACGGTGTGTGTGTGTGTGTGTGTATACAGTATGTCTCTGTTTAAACATAAGCAGCACAGAATGTGTGTTTTTAGCCCCTGCTGCTCTTCTCCCTCCCACCACTAGATGGCCCTATGCCCAGACGGCGACCACCATGACTGAGCTGGGCTGTAAACACGTGAATAAGAACGTGGGGGAGGTGCACATTGACGTAAAGAACAAGCTGGTCACCACCTCCGCCTTCATGTGTAACGCTCCCATACACGAGGTGTTTGATGGGGTGGGTGTGATGGTTACAGAGCTGCTCAAACTGGCCTAGAAAGGCTGTGTCCCAAATGGCACCTTATTCCCTTTTTTAATAGTGATTATGGGTCAAAAGAAGTGCACTATATAGGGTGTCATTTGGGACTGCACTATATAGGGTGTCATTTGGGACTCTACCTTTTTAGAATCGGGTTTATTGTTTTCCTGGAGACCATCCTGATCTGATTTACTCCAGTGTCACTTACTGGATTGTTTAAAAAGCTGAAACAGACATAAGAAGCTATGTATCTCTACTGTGATTTGTGCTACTATCAAAATTGTAATAAAAGTGACGTAAAACACATTTCTATAGTGAATTACTTGTCATTAGGGGTTCAAGCGGCGAAGCTGGGTGAACCCCGATTTTGTGTTTATTGGTTCAGCAGCGACGCTTATGAATCCTTATTTCGATGCCAAACCCACCACTTGTGTGTGTGTGTGGCCAAAGAGCTCTATTTTCATGTCATCCAACAAATTTTAAACACCTGGAGTTTGATAAACGGCACTTGGATTGAAACCCATGCTATGGGCAGATTACATGAAAATGGTGCTCTTTGGCACCAGTGGTGAGTTTGGTGTCGTAATAAGGATGCATAAGCAGAAAATAACCCCATACCTATTGTAAAATATGGTGGTGGATCTTTTGATGCTATTTTGCATCCACTGGTCCTGGGGCATTTCATAAGCACAGATACAGAATCTGGAAAGATTCTGTATGGAGGTATGGTCTGAAGCCTTGTTCATGTGGCAGTTTGACTCAAAGCAAAATTGTAAGCATATTTTTCCTGCAGTCGGAACAGCCAAAATCCACATGGATTCTGATATTTCAAGACTCATTTCAAACCACATTTGTAGGTTTAATTTCAGATACAAATCTTGTTCCTGGCCATGCGACTAGTCTGAATGGGCAAATCTGAATTTTATTTGCCCTAAAGTGGTTTTTAGACTTATTTGGCATATCTTGTTGCTTGTTAGCTACTCTGACAGCTACCACATGTTCTGGTCAAACTAGCTTGTTAATTGTACAGACTAGTGAATGTGCTAAACAGCTAGCTAGTTGACTGCTGTGGCTATCCAAAAAAAGACTTGTTTTGAAAGTTGGATCATCTTATCCTTTGAGGCTTAAAGTGTTCTTACACAATGATTTTGAACATTCAAAGTAACTGGGGAAACATCCATTATTTTATTTATTTTATTTATTTATTTTATGTCATTTAGCAGACGCTCTTATCCAGAGCGACTTACAGTCAGGCATTGATGTCACCTTAGCTTGCTACAGAACTTCTGAGTGATTGGAAGCACAAGCACCACCACCAATTAGCCTACACCACTGCGCACACACCCGTCGTTACTATGACAACTAGTGTAGGCATGTCCGCAAATGACCGCTGTCTGAGCACACACCCATCTGATTTGGTCGCTTGTAACTTGCTGTTTGGACAGTCAGTATTCCAAAACAGATTTGAGCATTGATGCTTAGTGTGAACCAGGCTTTAGATCCCTCCCAATGTGTCCTCCAATCTGATGTAGTCTATAAATAGAAATCAAGGGTAGGTGTACATGACTGTATATTGAATTATGCACATACACTGTTTAAAGGCCCAATGCAGCAGTTTTTATATCAATATCAAATAATTTCTGGGTAACAATTAAGTACTTTACTGTAATATAGTTCCATTAAATTGAGAAATTGCTTTTTAGCAAAACTATTACTCAAGAAGTTTGCTAGAACTGTCTGGGAGTGGTCTGAGTTGGGAGGGGAAACTGAAAACTAGCTGTTGGCAGTGGTTTGGAACTCTTTGTTATTGGTCTATTAACCAATTTGCCACATGATGATGTCACCATGGAAAGCAGAAACTCCCGCCCATAGAAACCTGCCAATAGTGTGTCTGAGGCCTGAAATATGGGGCGTTCATGGCCCCCTCGAGCATACCATTGGTTCCTGCATGAACACCTGCCCTCTCCATCAACAGAAGTGCGGGAAAACACTGCCAGACAGTGTGGGGTTTATCGGCGGTTGGCAGTGGATATACTTACATTTTGACCTAAAAAAAATCAAAACTGCCTGCCTGGTGGAGGAAAGGCGCCCTATGAGAAATTATATGACAAACTGTGACATACAGTACACTCTGAATGACCTAAAATGATGAATCCCATATTGGTCTTTCACAGTCAGGAAAACCCAAGCTGTACTGTTCAGTAGGCTAATAGTAGGCCTATTATTTAAACAGATGAATGAGACTGTCAACTGAGTCAGAAACTCACAGGTTTCTTAGTCCAAAATTGGATGTTCTAAGTCCAGAAACAGTGCTTAAACCACATCAGGAGACAACTTTTGAAGTCTGGGAAAAATCTAGAGTGTAGTTACCCTTTAATTCAACTGTGCAGGAACCTAGCACTATTGTTTGGTTAGCGGTGTTTCTGTAGCGTATATGAGATGGATTGATGCAAATAATCATATCATTCTGCCAGGGAGCCATAGGCTACATTGAGAAGGTTTTTTGGAAAGCCTTTCCATCTACGAGAAGACGGTTAGGCCTATCATTAGCATCCCTATATTTTTCCTGTTCCTTAATTGTTTGAAACCTGGACGTTTTACTTCATATGATGAGGCATGTCTTACCTTGCTTCAAAGTAGCCTATAGCCAAAATCCCACCATAGAAACATGGAGGAAAATATTTTATAAAGTCTGCCTCATATGCGCTCGCCTGTTCTATTGGTTTTCAAATAAACTTTCATGTTCAAGCAGCCAAAAGCATTATCCTAGTCATATTAGCTAAACCACTCACTCCCCTTTTCAAGATGGTGGCAAACATGTATTTTTCTTTGATCAGTGTTTGTAGCTGAAAAGTGTTTTGTGTTTTTTGTCTCCTTTTACCTTTTGTTTCATCTGGCTGTGAACACATTGGACAATAGTGTACAATTGCATACAGAGTTTTTAAGGAGACATACAAAATAGGTCTGCTGAAATGTTTGAGACCTACTTGGATATACCTGGGCATCCTACTCTCCACTGGGGCGTTATCTGAGCAGACACCTGCCTACTGCGGTTTTCTTCCTTCCACTTGACATTGTGCCTGGGATGTTTTTGGACTACTGCCAAGCTTGAACTCCACTTGGTTTAGCCTACTTGGATTTACTATTTTTGACTCTCCCGTGGCTTGGTGTAGCGCTTGCCTCCTGGTTTAGCCTACTTGGATTTACTATTTTTGACTCTCCCGTGGCTTGGTGTAGCGCTTGCCTCCTTCCCGGCTTTCCACCAGCCTGTGCAGATAGCTACATCCCGCCAATGTGCTTCTCTCCTGGCTATCATACTGGTAACACGGCCTCCTTTGCGTTGCTGTTTTGATGGGCCCCAGCATTTAATCTCATTGAGTAAGTCACCGCTCTCTCCTTGCTGTTATGCTGGCCAGTTTATTGCCTTGGTTGTGATTATTGTGGCTCCTAGTGCTGGCTGGATTCTAGTCTGTGGTTGGGTTCTGGCTTGCTGCCTATAACTGTGGTAATCCTACAAACTGTGTGATTCAGTCTAACTAAATATCACACTGTGTGGATTGATTGATTTACTTTTAGCTGATTCCTCACCAAACCTATTTTATTTGTGTGAATTTTAACTGACATTTTCCAAAATGGCGTCTACCACTTTCTGCCATACGGGGAAACTAACTTTTTCCAGATTGGAGGATACCACCTTCAGAGACAATGGTGAATGTTTCATCCTATGTAGGAACTGCACCTATTTTGTACAGTTCAGGGATAATATTGACTGGACACATTTTCCATGTGGAAACTGTCTGCTTATTGAGGAATATACACTACCGTTAAGTTTGGGGTCACTTAGAAATGTGCTTGTTTTTGAAAGAAAAGCAAAAAAATTGTCCATTTAAAATAACATCAAATTAATCAGAAATACAGTGTAGACATTGTTAATGTTGTAAATGGCTATTGTAGCTGGAAACGGCTGATTTGTAATGGAGTATCTACATAGGTGTACAGAGGCCCATTATCAGCAACCATCAGTCCTGTGTTTCCAATGGCACGTTGTGTTTGCTAATCCAAGTTGATCATTTTAAAAGGATAATTGATCATTAGAAAACCCATTTTTTTGCAATTATGTTAGCACAGCTGAAAACTGTTGTGCTGATTTTAAAGAAGCAATAAAACTGGCCTTCTTGAGTCTAGTTGAGTATCTGGAGCATCAGCAATTGTGGGTTTGATTACAGGCTCAAAATGGCCAGAAACTAATAACTTTCTTCTGAAACTTGTCAGTCTATTCTTGTTCTGAGAAATGAAGGCTATTCCATGCAAGAAATTGCCAAGAAACTGAAGATCTCGTACAACGCTGTGTACTACTCCCTTCACAGAACAGTGAAAACTGGCTTTAACCAGAATAGAAAGAGGAGTGGGAGGCCCCAGTGCACAACTGAGCAAGAGGACAAATGCATTAGTGTCTAGTTTGAGAAACCGATGCCTCACAGGTCCTCAACTGGCAGCTTCATTAAATAGTACCCGCAAAACACCAGTCTCAACAGTGAAGAGGCGACTCTGGGATGCTGACCTAGGCAGAGTTGCAAAGAAAAAGCCATATCTCAGACTGGCCAATAGAAATAAAATATTAAGATGGGCAAAAGAACACAGACACTGGACTTTCTCAGTTGTGCACCAGGGCCTCCCACTCCTCTTTCTATTCTGGTTAGAGCCAGTTTGCGCTGTTCTGTGAAGAGAGTAGTACACAGCATTGTACGAGATCTTCAGTTTCTTGGCAACAAACAAAAGATGCTCTACGGAGATGGACTCCACCCAAACCGTCTAGGAGCCTGGAACCGTGTTAAGATATTGACACAGAGACAGACCAAGCCCCGCTCAGGTAATACCTCCCATCATTTCTAAGCGTTATCATTGCACTGTTGTCTATACTGCCAGGGGTGTTGTCAGTTGTAATCTAGTATCCATTCGTTTGAACTCACTCTTAGATCTGCTATTGTTAGCTCAAAAGAGAAGCCCACTGTGGTCTGCTCACTCAGTGCTTTAGTTCAAATTGTGAATTCCATAAACTTGAATACCCCCTCGGTTTTCAAATCATGTAGAGGGCTTGTGCTGGTGCAAGATAACACCCAAAGCCCATGTAATTCAGTTAATAATAATAATAATAATAATAATATGCCATTTAGCAGACGCTTTTATCCAAAGCGACTTACAGTCATGCGTGCATACATTTTTGTGTATGTGTGGTCCCGGGGATTCGAACCCACTACCTTGGCGTTACAAGTGCCGTGCTCTACCAGCTGAG